AAAGAAATCAAGAAAGTAAACCCATCTGCAACAGTCACCAAAAAAAATGGAATACCTAGAAATCAATTTAACTAAAGAGGTGAAAGATCTCTACAATGAGAACTACAAATTATTACTGAAAGAAATTAATGAGGACACAAAAAGCTGGAAAGACATTCCCTGTTCTTGGATTAGAAGAATCAACATTGTGAAAATGTCCATACTACCCAGAGAGATCTACAGATTCAATGCAATCCTCATCAAAATACCAATGGCATTCTTCACGAAAATAGAAAAAACAATCCTAATGTTCACATGGAACAACAGAAGACTCCAAATAGCCAAAACAATCCTGAGCAAAAAAATAAAAAATAAAAAAATAAAATAAAGCCAGAGGTATAACTACCTGACTTCAAGTTATACTACAAAGCTATAGTAACCAAAACAGCATGATACTGTCATAAAAATAGACATTCAGACCACTGGAACAGAAGAGAGAACCCAGAAACCAACCCACATGCTTACAGTCAATTGATCTTTGACAAAGGCAACAAGAACATACATTGGTGAAGAGACTGCCTTTTCAATAAATGGTGTCAGGAAAATGGACATCCATATACAGAAGAATAAAACTAGATCTGCACCTCTCACCATATACCAAAATCAACTCAAAATGGATTAAAGACTTAAATATAAGACCTGAAACTATAAAACCACTAAAGGAAACATAGGGGAAACACTTCAGGAAGTAGGACTGGGCAAACATTTTATGAATAAGACCCCAAAAGCACAAGCAACAAAAGAAAAAATAAATAAATGGGATTATATCAAACTAAAAAGCTCTGCACAGCAAAGGAAACAATCAACAGAGTGAAAAGACAACCTACAGAATGGGAGAAAATATTTGCAAGCTAGACATCTGACAAGGGATTAATATCCAGAATATACAAGGAACTAAAACAACTACACAGTAAAAAACAGATAACACAATTAAGAAATGGGCAAAGGAGCTGAATAGACATTTTTCAAAGGAAAACATACAAATAGCCAACAGGTACTTGAAAAAATGCTGAACATCACTAATTGTTAGGGAAATGAAAATTAAAACCATATTGAAATATCATCTTACCACAGTTAGACTGACTAAAATCAAAAAGACTGAGAATAACAAATACTGGTGAGGATGTGGAGAAAGGTGAACTCTTCTATATTGTCGGTGGGACTGTAAGTTAGTACAGCCACTATGGAAAACAGTATGGAGGTTTCCCGAACAACTACAGATAGATCTACCATATGATCCAGCAATCCCACTTCTGGGTATATACCCAAA